GTGTTTTCTTGTATATATATATATATATATATATTAAAATGCATCTTAATTATCTTCAATTTTGTTACCATTTTGAAGAAAAAAATAAGGTCGGGGAAACATATTCCAATTTGGGCTGACAGAATGGTTATGAGAAAACCACAACTACTTTGGCGGATTTTAACGTAGTTTGAATATGTATTATACGCACCAAAGACGTAGAATACAGACGGCCATCCTCCGAGGACATCTGTCACAGAGAGAAGTCCAGAAATAGGCAGAGCAATTACAGTTCCGATTTGAGCTCCAGAGAAGATGACGGTAGAAACTCTGCTTCGCTCACTTTTTGGTGACCACCTGCTTATGGCGACGTTAATTGCTGGGATAGTTATGCCCTAAGAAATAGGATATTTAGTTATATTTATATAGAATATTTAATAATATTTAGATCCTACCCATGTAGTTTGATACGAAATTAATTCTAAAATTTCGGGAAATCGGTAGTCAATATGCTTTTTACGTAAATTTTTCATACTAGTGGGCTGCGCCCCCTGCACGCTAACGCTCGCCAACCCCCGAAAATTGCTACGCAATCTTATATTGTTTACTTCGCAAACCAAGCTTGCTTCGCTCGCTACTAACTTAGGTACATTGCAAATGCACAAAATTCTAAGAATTCAAAACAATCATTCAAATCCATGTAACAACTTTTTTTTTTTTTTTTTTTAAATTAGTATTTTAGGAAAACGTTTCTCTATATAACATAAAATCATAATGATCTGACACCGTTTTCCATTGTTGTCGGCGCATTTTCATTGGCCGGAAAATCACGTGGTTGGATCCAGTTTTCCCCCATTCATTTCCATATTGTTTAGGTTGTCATCAGCAGATCACACTTGGTGAGAATGCTCTCTCTGGTTATTTCAGTTTCCGTTTTTAAAAGCGCTGTATGTTGAGCCATGTCAACTAGATTTGGCATGTGACATTTTTAGCGGCAATCATTGGTCGATTTTCAATCGTTGCCATTCGGGTAGTTGTAATGAGGTTTTTTTTGTCGCCGTGTAAGAGAAATATAAATAGAGAGATTATTGACGGAATGATATTACCATTGAGATATTTGGTAAAACCAGATATGGTATATTTTACGTAATATTAACGGAATTTATTTTATCAACTACCATTTTTTTACGATTGGTTTTGTATATTTTATGAAAGATTGACGAAAGAATATTTACTATTTAGAATTAGTAAAAGTGAATCTGTTGATTGTTGGCGAAGCAAATTTACCATTTAAATTTCGGTTAATTTGACGTTTCAACTTTCGTACATTCTGACGTACTGTTGCAAATAATCTGAAAAAATAACGTACTCATTTTTAAATAGTAAAGGTGGTTGTCAAACATTCGTAAAAGAAATGAATTTGTTTACTTAAAATTTTACTTAAATTTTACGAATGCTTTATAAAATTTAAAGGTGAAATAAACGTGTTTTTGACATAAAATTGATATTTCTTTGCTACCAGGGTAAATATTTGCGAGACTATTTATAGGCAATGGTTTACGGCAGGATGATCTACAACTTTGGCAGGTTTTCGAAAGGTTGCCCTGTAGGCATTCGCCTGATTAATCTGAATGTTACGAATCATTGATATTGAATATTTTGTTAGATTAAACCTCATTAATAGTTTAAAATTTTGTAAAGGTCGTAACTATGCATGCATATTAAAGATATATTTAGCTTACGTCTGCAAGTCCTTGGATGACACGAATGCAGGTTAAAGCAAGACTTCCAAAACTGGCTGTAAGAGGGATTAATAAAGAGATTATTGCTGTAGTCAGTATTCCACAGCCAAATACCCACTTGGCTCCAAATTTTTCAGCAATGATGCCTCCAGGCAACTGTGTCAAAACATAGCCATAATAGTAAGATCCTAGAATTGTGGTCTGCGTTGTGGTGTCCCAGTTGTACTGTTCACCCTAAAATTAAATGAACTTCTCTTAACAGTCAAGAAAAATACTGTTTTAAAACTGAGCAGAAACATAAATTGCATTCGATGTTGCAAAGAATGACTGATTGGTTTGAATTTAGTAATGTCAAGAGTCAGATGCGGTTATTCAGCTCCAAATTTAAGTTAAAATTAATAAATAAATATCACAAGCCAACACTTAGAAAGACAATTAGGCAATTATAATTAAATTTATTATAATTAAATTGATCAAATCGGCAAAATTATAATTAAATTTATTTACTACAGACGACACCACTATGCAGCATCTTTCTTGTGTAAACCACTTGGTGTATTTTGATTATTAGCTATTTGATAAATTAATTTAATTTATTGGTTATCAGTTGATTAATAATTTACATATTGATTTCAGTTCGAAATTCAAATTTAACCTGTAATTAAATTGTTTAAACTTTGTTTATACAGTATCTCTCTGTATACAGTGGTGGCCAAAAGTGTGGACACTTTTTGAAAGTTTCATGTTTTTCAACTTTGTGTGCTTGTAGAGTATATTAATTTTCACTTAAATACAAACGTTTATATATCAAATTGAAGGTAATTTAATGTAGAATTTAATAATAAATANTGAAAAAAATTTTTTCAAATTGATGAATAATTCTGTATTTGGTAAAACGATGGAGAACATCAGAAAGAGGGTAGAGATAAAACTAGTAAATAATGGGAAAAGTGCCGAAAAATGGATAGCTAGATCTAACTTTCATGATCGTACGATATTCAATGAGAACTTGGTAGCTTTACATATGCACAAAACAGTATTAAAATTTAACAAACCAATAACGGTAGGTATGGCTGTTTTGGATCTCTCCAAAACTCTTATGTATGAATTTCATTATAGATATATGAAACAAAAATATTCAAATTCGTTACAGCTTTTATATACCGATACAGATAGCTTCATATATAATATAGAAACTGAAGATGTATATAAGGATATGCTTAAGGATATAGATAAATTTGATACATCAGAATATCCTGAAGATAATATTTATGGAATACCTCTTGTTAACAAGAAGGTCTTAGGGAAAATGAAGGACGAAACGAAAGGGGAAGTTATGTCTGAATTTATAGGTCTTAGATCGAAAATGTATACATATAGAGTAGGGGTTAAAACAATCAAAAAATTAAAGGGAGTGAAACGAGGGGCTATCGAAACTAAAATTGATATAGAAGATTATAAAAGATGTCTTTTTCAAAATAATGAGCTTCTTGTAAAAATGAATTGTATAAGATCAAAGAAACATAATTTGTATAGTATAACACTCAATAAATTGGCTCTATCCCCCCATGACCAAAAGCGCTATGTTTTCGAGGATAAAGTCAGTACTGTCGCTTTTGGACACTATTGCCTACTATAAGTGAATAGAAGAAGAGGAACTGATTGTACTATAGTATTTGAAAGTTAAATTTTTTTTGTACTTGATTATTGTTGTATTAAAGTATCTTGAATCAAATGCCATCTTACTCACTTATGTTAATAAAAAGTTTATTTGAAGCAATTTTAAATGTATATAACTTTCTTCTTTTTTCAAGCATATCCTGTTTATAGATTTATTATTGTTTATTCATTCAATATACGTTTAGGAATTGTAAATTATTTTTAGGTGCTGCATTTATTTTTAAAAAAATTATTCAGTAATTATTTTTTCTTTCTTCCAGGATTATTTTTTCAAAATATTTGTTTAATTTTTCAATAGTAGCATATTTCACAATTGAACTTAGTGTTGTGAGGGAAATGTTAAAGTTAAGGTCCCCCTTTACAATGATCGTTGGTGGTCCAACGGGGTGTGGGAAAACTGAATTTGTAAAAAAGCTCATTGATTATAAAATGATTAATCCTTTCCCTAAAAATATAGTTTGGTGCTATGGAGTGTTTCAAAAACTTTATACAAAAATACCAGGAGTTACATTTAACGAAGGAATTCCTTCCAATATAAATAAATTAACTGATACTTTAATAATAATCGATGATTTAATATATATATATATATATATATATTAAAAATGTTTTAACTCTCGGAATCCTCTCAACTCTTCTGCTGAACTGTAGGGTTCCACGGAACATATTTACTACTATAATTACTTACCTTAAATCCATTGCTCTGAACTAGTTCATTGTCGTAATCCAAATTAAGGCACTCTTTGGTTTCACTATGTGAGTTGTTAGGAAATGCCACTGCCGTTTGGTTCACCATTGCCACTATAGTCATACTGATATTCACCCTCATTGCATATATACTGAACATGCCCAAAAATCCCAACAACACCAAAACATACCTCCTCGGAAAATAATATCTCTCCCATTCTGAAAAAAAAATAGGAATTTATGTGGAGAAATAACGTTGCAATGCATAGATTTATAGGATAAAGCCGGATTCTTTTTTAATGTTTCAAAATCAAATAGCAACAGCAGTATAGTCCTTTCGCCAAGCACTATGGTAGCGGGTTCGAATCTTGTCGTTACCAATCTTGTCGTCTTAGTACTCTCCTTATCCAAATTTTAACTCCGTTGTAATTGTAGTCGTTTTGTTTACGTCACACTAGAGTTGCACACTGAGCTATTTTATTTTATAATAGTCGTTTAACAGTGTTTTATTTTATAACCGCAGTTTAATAGTTCAACAATGTTTACAATCAAAATAGACGACTAATACATTAATAACATTCTTAACGAAGTTTACAAGTAAATGTATTCATTTTGAAATAGTGGAAGATATTCATGAAAAATAAAACTAAAAAAGGACGATAAAATTATTTTTTAACGTTCATAATTAATGTTTAAAAAAACTGCTGTGGCACAGATATGAGGGCGCCCTCCAGATGTGATGCGCTTGACAAATGTGATCTCAGAATTGGTTCGACTGCCCTATTCATTTTATGAAATATTAAAAAACATAATGCTGAAAATATGACTATTAAACATAATATATATATATATTTTTTTTTGCTGAATTAAAAAAATTCTATTTTCATACGCAGCACGCAAAGAAAAAAACAATCTAAATCGCTTTTGATTTAATTATGAGATTTTCAGCAATCGGATTTATTTTTCATGGTTTGCGTTTCGAACCTTATTAACACTTAGACACGGAATTATTATTAAACATTTTATTATTTTGTACCGATTTAGGCTGAAAAATTAAAAATATTGTATTTGGAATTTTAATAATTTATGGTTATGAAATAAAAAAAAATTCAAGTTTGCAATTATTTAGATCTAAGAAAAAGAGTTATTCATCATTGAAATTTCTTTAACGCACAAAATCAATTACTGATAAATTTTTGAATATGATTGTAGCAACATTTAAACTACTTTTTAGTGTTTTATATTTTATTGCAAATATAATTCCGATAATCTAACAGATTTTTGTAGTAACTATTAGATAGTTAAAAAAGGCAAAGCCTATTTTTGCTTGAAATTAGAGAGCCAGAAAAAATATATAAAAGAAATATTGGTGTTCCATCTGCTTTAAAGGGTTAAATTAGCTAATTAATTGGAGCATATGATTTTTAAAGCTACGAAACTAGACTCAAGACAAAACATATTTTTCCGGTATTTCAACATATTAGGATTTCGTGATGTTCAAATAATGAGTGAGGGGATGGCACAAAGATTTTGAAAATATGATTCTAATAGTCTCGGCTGGAGATCGGGTTAAAGTCTGAGCCTTTTAATATTTTAAGTTTTAGTAGCTCTTTTGTTTATATTTTTCTTTTAATGTTTATGTTTTGAGTACTTAGCAATATTACCGCATATAACAAAACTAAACGAAAGCAATTTCGTTTGCAATTATAAAACCTGCTCATCCAGTAATAACTCGATGAAGAAGAACTATTTTTATAATTATTTATTATTTTTCGTTATAAATTAATTTACTAATGATCGAAAAAAATTGTTTTGTATGAAATAGCAGTTAAATTTTAAAGCACGTAATTTTAAAAAGAAAATCATAGTTTGAAAGGTATAGGTAGAATAGTTCTTGAGATATAAAAATTTACATTTACAACTTTTTTGAGCTATACAAAACTGGAGATTACATTGGAGTCAAAACTTTCGATCGCTGTAGCTGAATTCCTCAACAAAAAAAATTTTTATTCATAGAAAGTTCGTTTCTGTGTCTGATTATGCTGTTTAAAATATATTTTGAACCAACTAAGTAGGATAATTAGGGTAAAACTTTTGAAACATTAAGAGTAAACTTAAATACGTAAAAATTCATGATTATGATTAGTAGTTATTAAGAAGCCTACCTTTTTTGCACTGCACAACTATTTAATTGGGTAAAATTACAATAATTAAATTACTTGTATTTTTGTCTATTTATAATATTTTTTGATTCTAGTTTGCTTAAATTAACATATAGTTGAAATATTAACCATAAAATATATTAGTTTAAATGCACTGCAGGCCACGAAAAACATTTAAAAATTTAGAGGAATTACTTTTTTCAACTTTTGCAAGAAATAGAACAACCCAACATATTTGTTATTACTAAATAATTAATAAATAAAACTGAAGTGGTACGATATTACTTGACTAAAAACTTCAATCTTTTCAAAAATATATAAATTAAAAATAGCAGTCTTCTGATTCATATTAGCGAGTCTTAAAAATGAGAGCCTGTTTCAGAGCGCTTGAAACACGTTGACTTTTATTTACAATTTGTATATTTTTGAAGTAAATGAAGGTTTTAATCAAGATTGTTGTTACCTCGACATCGTAACAAAAATATTCATATTTGCTGTTTATTTTTGTCAAGAGAACGATGCCGCTTTATAGCTAAAGCTTTAGATATTATAAAAGTATATATTCTACTGAAATGACAAATTCACTACTATTTTTCAAGATTCCATGAAATAAGAAAACCTTAATATTAAAAAAAATATTCGTGAATAATGAACATAAAATTAGACTTTTAAAATCTGTTGTGCAAAAAGAACAGTAGATACATAATCATTGTGCTTGATTACATATAAATGAAATAAAACGTAGGAATATGTTTACAGAATGAATACATTTTAAGTAGTTTTTATGAAAAAATCTAACTTACTTTGGCTTTTAAACTTTTCAGGAAACGACGGAATAGTTTTTAACATATTTGCCGCAATCCAAGCAAGGTAATTAAAATTTATATTACTAAAAACTCGTTGATTTCTTTCCAATTATAAACTTCATAAAAAGTTATGATCGTAACAAAGTTAGTTTACTACGTGATTTTCCTATTTTAATGTTTCTTTTAATAGGAGACTCAAAAAAAATATTTTTTTTCCGTTGAAAATATAAAACATTCAGTCAAGTTGTCAAAACAATTACAGCGAATGAGTTCATAATCCACAAAATAAGGTAACAAACACCGTGTCAAGAGAAGTTTATAAATTGTCAAAGAAGAATTTTTAAGTATTTTTTCTTCCACAAATTCCATTTTTATACCTTATTCCAAACAAAGAATAAAAAATTGTTGTTTACGAAATTTGGATAAGCTTTTTTCTTTCTAAGGAATTAATTCGTGCAAAATATAGGTCCGCACGAATTGTGACACATCACTAATCTTCTCACCTCGAATTTCTATAATCCCTAACCTACTAACATTATCTTGGTACAAAGCATGGCAAAAAGTAGGCAGTTGAATTTTACGACAACAATGATAAAACTGATGAATAGTTTATTTGGGAAAAAATTTATTTGCCAGCCTATGTATAATCAATATTTTCATGTGATTCATAACTAGATTTGTGACTTAAAATGACCGGAATTTTTATATTCATCTCCCAATCAGGGGGGGGGGCTCCCTGACCGAGCGGTATCGCCGGTCCAAACGCTCTGTTAAGCGTGGAGGTAGCGGGTTCGAATCCCGCCGTAACCCTGGATGCATTCTTTGTGATGTCTTTCTCTGAATTGTTCTATCTGTATTTTCTACTTGACAATGACTTATAAGCCTATATTGAGCACACAAGTCAGCAAATGTATGTAATTTCAGTAAATCAATCAATCCAATGAGGGGAACCAGGTATGAATCCCAGTGGTGGCTGGCTGTTACGAATTGTGCTCCCAGCTCACACTGAACATAGTGCTGACATATCGATTCAGGGGTTCATAATCCCCTCCCCATCTGGCTAACTGTGGGAAGTTTGATTGGTTTTTCCATGTAACGCAAATGTTTGTTGGTTTCATCACCAAAGTCCTCAGTAAAGGCTAGTTTGTTCCTATGTTTGATCTAAGAACTCCTTTGTCTTCTGGGTTGAGTTCATGTTTCGAAGGCTACGGAGTTGATTACTGATAGTTGCTAACTTTAAATTGGGTCGTCTGTTCAATGCCGGTTACAAAATAAAATAAAAATTACGGTCATTTTGCATTTAATATCATTTTTACTACATTTAAATTTAAAGATAATTTACACATACATTTTGTATACCAATATGAACATAAATGAATTGAATTAAGAATGAGTTGAAACACTGTCAGGTGTTGTTACGGTTATTTTACGTAGTATCAACTCGTACCGAGTGAATATTAAGAAGACGGTGTTATTAACTAAGTCTTGCCCATATTTTTTTTATCTGTATACAAATAACCAAATATGGATAAACTATAACGATAAACAATTAGGCTTATAAGATGTTTTTGTATCCAACGCATAGGTCTGTATATGTATGTGTGGTTCTAGTGTAAAATCTCCTCGACACCTTTGGCCGAAATCAAACTTTCATGATAAGTTAATTTTGCGAATATACAGCGTCACAGATTATTTTAACCATACGTTCTAAAACACTAATTTCAACAATTTTTTTTAAAAAAAAGTTAACCTTTTGTTTTAAATTCGATAAAATATTACAGGTTATAATGTAACTGGGTACAATATGAAATGATTTGGTGTGAATTAGAAGCACTTTGCATAGTTTTTCCTGTTCGACTTGATAGTACACAAATATCTTGCGGATACCAATAAATAAGTGAATAAATATTGCGAAACAAACAGCTCCTGAAACACTAGTCTTTAAATTGCAGATGATTTTTTTCCAACTCTCACGACTAAGCCGCGATGGCTCAGGGGATAGAACGTGCGCCTTCCAAAGAGGTGAACCTGGCTCGAATCCCGGTGATGGCTGTTCGATACGAATTCCGCATCCAGCTTGCACTGACCATTATGCTGACATGAAATATCCTCAAAGACAGATGGATCATGGGTCAGAGTCCCCTTGCAGTCAGATTGATCGTGGGAAGTTCTCGTGGTCTTCCTTTCCATGTAGCACAAATGCGGGTTAGTTCCAACAAAAGTCCTCCACGAAGGCAAATTTCTTCCAATACTTAATCCAGGAGTTCCCTTGTCTTCTGGGTTGGGTACAAAATAACAAGGCTACGTTTTTGAAGATTAGTAGGAGTAAACCCTAAAATTGGATCGGCTGTTCAACGACGGTTATAAAATAAAATAAAATAAAACCTCACGACTGACAGCTAAGATGGTTCAGGGAATGGAGCGTTCACTTCCCAATAAAGTGAACCGGGTTAGAATCCCCTTGCCGTCATGCTAATTGTGGGAAGTTTTCGTGGTTTTCTCTCGGTGTAATGCAGATACGGGTTACTTCCATTAAAAAGTTCTCCATAAAAGCATATTTCTCCGAACACTTGCTACGAAAATCACCCTATCTTCTGGATAGGGAGAAAAATTACTAGTCTCCGGAGATGAAATTCGGTAGTCGTAAACCTTGGTCGGCTGTTCAACGACGGTTATAAAAATCTCACGACTGGTTGCGACTGCTTTTTTAATGTTTTCATAACATAGTGCAAAACTAATAGGCGTGGGGAGGGTTAAAGTATTCATCCAAAACAGCTTTGACTTCAGTTCGAATCCCCTTGCTAAAGGATTGACGACTGATCTTATTGCATTCTCTTGAATCATAACTAAGTAGCTAGAATTTTTTTCTAACGTAATGTCTCCGGTTGCTGCAGAGTTATTTGAGTCCGAGCTAGGTAGGATGGTTTTGGAGCATGATATGGAAGCACTCTGATTAATACCATAATCTGCCGATTGTGGTAGTTGCAGTGTACAGTGCGCAATAAAACGTATCACATTGAATAACTTTAGAACTTTTTTTTTCAAAAAAAAGTGAGGACTCAAATGTATTTAATTTGTAAAAATTTTGTTGAATGAAACATGCCATCTAAAAGATTAATCTATATTACAAAATAGTGCATTATTATTTCTGATAGCGCATCCGAGCCATCATAGCTCAGTGGTTAGAGCACTGGTCTCGTAAACCAGGGGTTGTGAGTTCAATCCTCACTGGTGGCTGGCATATATATCGTTTAAGTCATTCTCTCATTTGCTTAAAGCAGTGAGGACTCAAATTATTTTATAATTTTATTTAATTTCTAAAAATGCTGATGAATGGAGCATATTATCTGGAAGATTATTCCATGCTAGGAGGCTCCTCCCCTGTTCGCTAACGCTCGCCAATCCCCGAGAATTGCTACGCAATCCTATGGGGTTCACGCCATGAACCATGGCTCGCTGCGCTCGCTCGCCAATGAACACAATGTTCTAGCACAAAGACATAGTATTATTATCATCAAAGACATAGTATTTTATCATCAAAAACATAGTATTGTACTTATGTAGAAGAATTCTATCAATGTTTTTATTGGCTTTTAAAAAAGTATATTAGCTATTTAGATTGTACAGTCCGCAAAAAAAAAAAGATATCACCCTGAATAACTTTCGTTCTAATGATCGGATTTTCACGAACTAAGTGTCAATCTTAATGGTTCCGGGGGGTGACCTCAAATATGCTAATTAATTAGAGCTAATTATTAATTAAGTTACGAAATCATACACAAAAACGTACTTTCTCTGAATAAACATGTATTTTTTTTTACAAATTTGGAATCCAGACACTTGAATTATGGGGAGGGGGTAGACAAAATTTTGAAAAAATTGTGTCTTAAATTGGGTCACAATAAAGGTTTATATATTTGGCGATAGTTCAGAAAACCGCCAGAAGAAGTCGCCAGCGTAAATTAATATTTTAAGGTAACCTATTGACTAATTCAAATTTCACTAGGTTGCTAAGCAACCAATTTCTGACTGTAAAAAAAAATTTAAATAAAGAAATATCTCAAAGTTTCTAGGATATAAACAATTTTTAAGCTAATTTCTGTCCAAAAAAAAAATTTTTTTTTTATTTTAATCTCCTTTGAAAAGAAAATTTGAATCGATTTATAAATTATTTATGATTTTCTAAGTTTTTAGAATTTAAATACATGAACTTTTTATCTGATACTATTTAGATTATGTTGTTTTTGTCATAAAAATTCGAGGATTTCATACTGAAATCAAATTAACATAACTTATTATGGCTATATACACAATTTTAGGGATAATCATTTTTACAGCTTTAATCGAGTGTTCTAGGCAAGAAAGTTTGAAGAATAAAAAGTGCTTGAAAAATAAAATGTATATTGTATAGTAATTCCAATGCGTATTCACAAGGTTTTCTATAATTTACGATTAGAGCCATCATAGCTCAGTGGTTAGAGCAATGGTCTCGTAAACCAGGGGTCGTGAGTTCAATCCTCACTGGTGGCTGGTTCTTTTAAATTATTCTCTCTTTTGCTTAAAGCGTGAGGACTCAAATTAATTTCTAATTTTATTTAATTTCTAAAACTGCTGATAAATGGAGCATATTATCTGGAAGATTATTCCATATTACAAAATAGTGTATTGTTATTTTTGATAGCGCATCAGAGCCATCATAGCTCCGTGGTTAGAGCAATGGTCTCGTAAACCAGGGGTCGTGAGTTCAATCCTCACTGGTGGCTGGTTCTTTTAAATTATTCTCTCTTTTGCTTGAAGCAGTGAGGACTCAAATTATTATCTAATTTTATTTAATTTCTAAAAATGCTGATAAATGGAGCATATTACCTGGAAGATTATTCCATATTACAAAATAGTGTATTGTTATTTTTGATAGATCATCAGAGCCATCATAGCTCAGTGGTTAGAGCACTGGTCTCGCAAACCGGGGGTCGTGAGTTCAATCCTCACTGGTGGCTGGCATGTATATCATTTAAGTCAATCTCTCTTTTGCTTAAAGCAGTGAGGACTCAAATTATTATATAATTTTATTTAATTTCTAAAAATGCTGATGAATGGAGCATATTATCTGGAAGATTATTCCATATTACAAAATAGTGTATTGTTATTTTTGATAGCGCATCCGAGCCATCATAGCTCAGTGGTTAGAGCACTAGTCTCGTAAACCAGGGGTCGTGAGTTCAATCCTCACTGGTGGCTGGCATGTATGTCATTTAAATCATTCTTGCTTTTTTTTAAGATGTAAGATTCAGATTAAAATGAAATTTTATTTAATTTTTAAAAAATTTGATCGATGGATCATATTATCTGAAAGATTATTCACGAAAATGTTTGTGACTGGTAGATACCCTATTTCAACTGAAGCATGTACCTCACAATTTTTTAAACTTTCCGAGTTTGTTTTTCTTTAGTAGTAGTAAAATTAAAATAGTATAACAGACGCATGTAGATAAATATTTTCTATTTTTAGGAGGCCTACCTTTTTATTTATATTTAAATTTAGATGTATTGGTGATCTGAAACATTTTAACTAATTTTAATTTTAATGAAGAATAAATTTTACTATCACGATGAATAGTAACATTTTATTTTATGTGAATGGCGTGATATTTTATTTTTGCATTCATCGTGATATAAACGAGTATGTGTAGTTTTATAAAAAATACGTAAA